AGGGTTATTGGGTGCAGTTCGACGACGGGGGCATTTCGCACTTTGGCCACTTCCATCGACGTGTGGAGCCATCGAGAGAGCCTTACGAGAGTTGACAGGACAGAGTTTTATCATGGTGGGCTGGACGAGCCTGCTCTAGCTAAACAAGAGTTCATAGGTTTCACCAGAGTGAGACTTGTAAACCGGAGCTGCGAAAGTGCTAAATGCCCGCCCCCCTCCCCCGTTGCCGAACAGAGCCGGTTATTGTTATGTATAAGTGTTGCCCAACGGTAATGCGCAATTTTCGTGTTATTTTTCAATTAATCTAGGGGATTGTTGTACAAGACATAGAAACTTTTGTTTCAGTCAAATACAGGGGAGGATAATTTTCAAAGTTTCATATGCCTTTTCTTGACAGTTTCTCTGCAGTTATCTATGATTTATCTTTCAGTCTACTTACCATATAGTGCGGGAATAGTGATGGAACTGAAAGCGAATGAAACGAGAAACGAAATCTTAGGGCTATATAGTGGGGAAAATGGCGAAAAAAGGAAGTGAAACGGTCAAAAACCTGCAAAAAAGCCTTTGTTCTACACGACTCAGAAAGCAATTTCGGACGAGTTTCCCGTTGGCATCGTGCCAATAACCGCTACGGTAGATACGGCTGCATGTATGTACTCATATATCCATGCAGCACCGCAGCCGCTTCATATCTGTCTTCGTTTCATATTGTACTTTGCAAATGGAGAGAATACACTCGTTGTAGGTTGGGCTGCCTGCAAAGTCCGGGGTATCCGGCGATATGATCATGGTGATTCCGAATGTGATGGGTATTGCGATCTACTCACCACCACTTGACTCTCTTGGCAATACCTACCGCGGTTTGAAGTTCGCTGAAGCTTTCATCAACAAGTTCAACTTCCACAATTACGACAGTTTAGTAAGTTTTCATGTAGCTGTCAGTCATGAAAGATTTCACAGGCCTTCTCGGAGGTGATACAAGATGCCCGGTAGTTTCATTGGATATCTCTGATCACGCTTTTTGAAGGTTTATTCGGATTGTCAGAAGATGGATCCGAGGAAAGCGGTCACCGAATGCGATCAAGATAACACCTCACGATTCATGTTCGCAGCAAAACATGGCGACATATCGGCGATCAAGAGGTGATAGCAGCACACATTTGGCTGTTAAGAATAATTCAAAAGTAGGTTTATATTTCCACATAACCACCGACAGTAGCCGTCGAAAACACGATAGACAGTAACCTCCACGCCGCGTAGTGGTCGAACACAACTCCTTGATATCCAGCATCCCGCCTTCTGAGGCGAAAGGTGAATTTCGTGGGCGTTCAAAGATCACCTTTAAGGCGATAGCAGGTTTTATCGCTGTAGAATGTGGGTATCAGCGGAGGAGGCAGCCACTTCCCGCCGTTCGCACACTATTGATCAAGCGTTAAAGCGCAGCAAGCTGGCGAGAACGACACTAGCAACTGATGCCAACAGATATGAAAGTCCTGTTATTGTGGCCACGAAAAGAAAGAAACAAACGGCTCCATCCCACGGACGACACGCCCTCATCCGCGCGACACGGGCGGCTCTTCACCTCTAGTAGAATCCTCCCCTCGCATACGGCGAGCAGTGCATGTGAAATAATAGATTACGCTCATGACATATCCGAGTACGAGAACGAGCCTATGAGAAAAGCGGGCGTACATGTCCGAGAATTACCTTTGACGAGATACCATTCACGAGACTGAGCGCCTGGGTTTTCCAAGGGAGCACTCTAATATAGCGCGCGATTATCAGGCTCTCGGCAACATTATGACAGTTTGACTAGCCGTCGCATACACGTGCTATCAAGGATAACTCATGGTATTGAGCCATCCATCCATAAAAAAGTGCTAGGTATAATAGTAGAGGATATGGCTCGGAAAGGCAGAGAGGAATGACATTCGCGCCGCTTTTTGCTATATTTCAAAAGCTCGGTACCTTTTAGCCGACGTAATCCATGATTTTGACATAGCTAGGCTGCCACAGAAGAACATCCGAGGAAATTCCGAAAAGAAACCCGGCAGCTCAAATATGTGCGCAGGAATTAGGACCCGGGGTGTCATACAGAGGAGAGCTGCGGTGCTCAGAATTTTGATGGGACCAATAAATGACGTGTAATGCTGTTTTAGAAGCCAAGGTGGAAGATTTGTATACAATACAAGTCCAAAAATGAACAAGGCGAAAAACAAAATCGTTGGCCGTTTAAGCCCCCAGGAGATCATTCTGCAGCAAGAAAAGGGGGTGAATAAGCGTTAAAAGTACGCTGTGCTGTATTTCCATCAGAGACTGGGACCAAGTGCGCTTTCCGCACGAAGACCGCCATTCTGGCCCGAGACTATCTTGTGAAGATAATAGACGTGCGAAGGTTTGTTCAGGTACCACGTCATTTTCTGGTAGAGACCATACTCAGACTGCACCTATGGTGACTATGAAAAAGGCTCGCGGCCCTAGACGAAAGTATAGGTGGTCCGCATTACCGATCGCCAAACCAAAGTTTTGTATGAAATGTCAGATGAGAAGCCAGACTCGAGCTATCTGTAACAGCAGTTAACCACTCGAAATCCCTGAGATGAGGTAGGCGTCGGCTGCGTGCTTCAACCGAAACGTCGCAGGTGGCATCTTTTTGAGAAGATATTTTCAGTTCCGACCCAAATACGGTACGTCATCTGTTCAAACTAAACGAAGGATGGCGGTTGTTCCGCAACGGATAATATTTCCACGAGTAACAGTTCATGGGCCATGTTTATGCCGCGCCTAACCCGTTTGAGGGATAAGGAGTATATGTGGGCTCAAGCGGATAATCATTGTGGCGATACATTCTGTACTGTGGCTTTCAAGCGGCTCTATCCAGTGAACAAAACCGTCTTGTCGATGTATATTGCCTTTCTCCCGAGGGTCAGATCGACAAATGGATGGTACCACACAACTACAAGGAGGCCACCATTGCTCGTCACAGTGCCAGACCCGAGTAACGTATTATTGGGCAGTGCTGGGACACGAACAATACTGAGAGCTGGTTCAACGCCCTTTTCGTCCGGCCTACAGCATTACGATTTCACCTGTTTCAATAAGTCGACGGCACTGTCCAATGGCAGAATTTTGTCATTCGAAATTGGCGTCAACAGCACTTTACTTGTCCTCGTTGTGAAATCAAGGTGCCAGTTGTTCAAACGTTCCTGGCACTGGGAGTGGGTCATTGATGAAAGAGGGATCTACTTAACTCCAAACCAAAGTAGTACATTTTTGCTTGTTTTCTCTCTTTTTCGTTTGAATAAAAGCCTTCCACGTCTTTGTATGGGATAACCTAGTTTACTGTCACTTCTAAATGTTCACAAACACTCGGAAAGAAATTTTTGTGACTGTTCTTGGTTCCTGCACTCCATGTTCGACTGAACTGGAGTTCTTAGCTACTTTATACGGCACAAATTTCACAAAGTCGAATGTACGGTGGTGTAGTATTCAGATTTCAGATTCCTCCTGATGGGTATGAACATTCATGATCGCGATTACGACAACCGCACAGCTTTGCATGTGGCAGCTTCTGAAGGAGACCCAGTCTGCCTCAAGTATTTACTATCTAGATGGAAAGAATCGCCTGGTATGAGCGATTCTGCCTTCCAAATAGATTTTTCGCTAACGTTTTATTCTTTAGATCCTCGTGACCGATTTGGAAGAAGCCCACTGGATGACGCGAAGTTCTTCAAACATCTGGAATGTGTCGAAATCCTCAAGTCAGCAATCGAAGGAATGGAATCTGTCGCAGAAAACGACGAGCCGAATACTTCCAACTCATAGCTCTCTCTCTTATGTGCCTGACAGCATAGCATAGGGTGGCCTAAGTCCTTGGGGAGTGATTCAAAACTCAGTGTGGACCTTATAGTCCAAGATAGAGCAGAGGCAGATTTTTAAAGAAATTTTATGAAGAATTTCGAAGACACATTCCGCGCTAACCGAAGCTGGGCAGGTCCTTCTTTGTAGAAGATGGCCAGCTCGCCGCACTGGGTGTCAAACTTTGGGAGACGGCAAGAGAATCGTAAACTGCCGCTTCGTCGCGCGCGGCAATGGGCGCGACGTCTCCTTAATTTGCACTACCCTTTCGATTGGAGCATCGGGTTTCATGTAGACAAGGACATGGTAGATACTCATGTCTATTTTTGATTATTGCCTATTCCCAGTTAATACCACCTAAAACTGTCGTCATCAGCGGGCGCGACGTCGCATGCAAAGCCCACTGGCGCGACGAATTACGATTCTCCTGCCGCATATGATACGTGTTTACGCAAGCTACACGCCCCATGAGTTGCTGTAATGTAATGCGCCTCTAGGATAGGACGACGCCAGTGAATAATTTCAAGCACGAGTCACCAAGATTGTACCGGCATCGCGTCTGAGTACCACATGTGAAAGGGCTCATCCGAAAAAACGCCACCTCTCGCCGAATTTGCTCGGCAAGCTCCCTCGGATCTTTAGAGGAATTTTCGCGTGATTTTTCCCTTAATCTTTCGACGCTGAGTTGGCTGGTTTCTTGAACTTTTCCGTCAATCAGACGTCTTACTGCACGCGGTGTGAGCTAAACGTGCAGTGTCAAACGCGGCAGTGATTAAAAAGCTGAACCTTTACGCTTGTTTGGCAACTTTACTCACTGTCTTGCCCTCAATAAGTTTAAAACTTTCGTGAAACGATGTACTTTCTTTTATGACTGCAGAGAATTCGACGCAAATTGTACAACTAATCAGGCAGCCGCCTAAACCTTGCTTGCTCAGTTGCTCCAAGCCACTTATGGTGCATATCGCTACCAGGAAAAAACCTTGCATGGCTTCTGATATCTGCGAAATGCGGAATAACTAAGGGAAGTTAGGTGCACTGGCCAGACTGATTCGTGTTCTTGATGAAAGAGGATAAACGCTTTTCGCCATTGATCACTTTGGTTTAGCATCGACGGCACGCTTCTGCTTCCCATTCAAAAATCACAATTGTTTACGGAAATGCCGACTATTATCTGTTACAAGACTTGCGGGGCCAGCGATACTACGAAGCAGAGTTCTTTTTATCCTCCCACGACAATGCTGCGTTAAGGTTTATGGTCACCGGTCGTGAGATAGCGCATTGATGATCCCGGCACCGTCGCACCCGGAACTTGATACCCGGATAGCGCGTGGCGACCGGGCCACTTGCCACCACACCACTTCCGCAGTGCTCCACCCCTCAACTCGTTTTTGATTTTTTTTCCTGTGCGCTGCCTACTTACAGCATACAGTAGCGTCATGGGATATGACCACGAGATCCAGTTGCCCACCCCTCGCCCTGAGGCTCTTCCAAGAATAACAACTAGGTGTAGCTGACCTCCGAGTTACAAAAGGATACCTAAGGCTGCGTTCATACCAGCGCTTCAGCGCCCACCAACATCCACAAGCGTTTCAAGCTAGGCCAGCGCAGCAAGCCAGAAAATATAAGATACCGTCTAGCGAACTCAAAGCCATCGGCGTCCGCGTAGCGTCCCCCTGCGACGAAGAAAGTATGCATATCGATCTAGCGAACGCCAGCGTCCGCGTCCACTAGTGAACTTTAGCAAAACTGCTCGAGAAAACGCTGCTGTACGCTGGTGGACGCTGCGGTGTCCGGTAGATTTGTATTATAGCTTTCTGGTCGCTGCGGCTGGGCTGTACTCTCAACGCGGCGTGGACGCCGACTCAAACATGAACGAATGCAAGGCACTTTCTGCGATAAACTGAGGCTATAACCTCATAAATGTGTCAGATGATCCGGTAGGCGATTGTAGAGGTTGCACTGCATTCAAAACTTGGAAAATGGCACGCAAAGCACGGAAACTTCGATTTTAGGCCCAAGGAGGCCCATGCCGGCCTACCTTGCCCGTGTCGTCGTACTAATGCCGTTGTGCTCTCTCGCCCGTCAATTTCTGGTCTCTCTCCGCGCTTTGCAGTGTATCGTCACCTTCTGCATATCACTGTTGATCTTGACCATCTTACTCTCGTCCAATGATCATGATGCTAAATGCAAGAAAGGGGGCCATATTGAGGCGGCTTTTCATACTTTTTTCTTCACTACTTAGGCAACTAGCTCAATGCACTCCTGTTTTTGAACTCTGTTACCTACGATGTGCAGTCGCGGGAAGTGCCTTTAAGCCGAACTTTATGATTGCATCCGGTAGAATCTTCATACAGAAAAATTCCAGACGAAATGAACCTTCAGATCTACACAACTACTATCGTTGGACGGGTAGGTGCTGGTGCCAGAGTCGATATGCTATCTAGAAAAAGCCATTCAAGGCTTTCCTTGTTCCTTCCTTAGTCACATCACTGCTCCGGGGCAAAACTTCCGTTCCATAATTCAGAGGAACATACAAGACGAATTACTTTTACTTTCGCTCAATTAAGTTATCTCTATATGGTACACAATCCTTTCCTAGTCAAAGCACAAATGCAAAAGAGTACAGTAAAACGGAAAAATGAGGAAAATATAGCACAAGTATAACACAATCACAGATAGAGGCATTAAGAAATTGCATTGAAAGCAGCCATTTGCTGGGCTCGTTGGAAACTTGTTTTGGCAGTCAGGCAGACCCACAGTAAATTAACCGAGGTATCTCCCGGAGAATTGCTGCTACTGCTCCCCAGTTTCAAGCCTTTTGATGCTATGGTACGAAGTAATAGGGGCTGAGCGACTTTCCACATCATAAGAAACCAGAAAACAGGATGCCTCCAGATGAGGCCCTTCTTTTGCATTTGCTTCTGAGCAACGATGGCATGAGCGCAACGGATTACAGTTTCAAACGTTGACGAGTTCAGCGTCGGGGGGGGGGCATTTTGCATGCTTTGCATTTTTGCTACTTCCCATCGACGTGTCGACCTATCTAGACAGCCTCTTCTCGAGTTGACAGGTTTTAACATGATGGCTTGATGACCTTGCTCCAGCTTCACAAGATTCACAGGTTTCGCCAGAGTGAGACTTGTAAACCGGAACTAAGGAAGCATAGTACAACCCCCCCGTCGCCGAACTGCGCCCGCTGACCACTTTCAGGCTACTCCCTTGCAGTCTGCCATCCTACCAGGTTCGCACAAGGGACTTTATCTACTATACACCTTGGGAAAAGGGTACTGTTGCATGCTCATGAGAGAGATCTTCCGCTTCCCAAAGGGACATATATTGCACAGTTTGAGGTACACTTAGTAGTGTCCCGTAGTCTAAGGTATTCATGTACTTTGCACAGTTCCAGGTATTCTTCAGCGGGATCACATTGAAGAACGCGCAATAATGTCACCTGTACCAAACGGCAACTTTCAATGCAACCTCCAAATACGCCGAGATACAGCATTTCGACACATCTGCTTCAGATTCGTGGAAACATGTTTAGAAGACGTCACGTGAAAGGCCTGAAAAAGATGACAATTTCTAACGAAATGACTCGCGAACAGATCTTACGCTAAGGTGACGGTGCTTCTTTTGCAATATAACGGGTATGTATGGCTCCAGGGTGCGGAGGTTTGGTTCCCAGTGCTGGCTCCAAGCATAGTTGAGTTGGGAGATAGAGCTGGAGCGCTTATACGTTTTTTTCCTTTTTCTATTCGGGTAGGTGTTTTCTTTTGTTCCCTTTGGAGTAGCTACTCGTTTGTGCTCTTTTGAGCAACTATCTGACACCATCTTGATCCAGGGATAGCGTTTCCTGTAAGGAT